CTCGTTTGAAAAGGACTCTAGGGACGCAGCCTTTAATAACTACCAGTAAACAGGCAGGAAAATCGATATCTGGTAAATAGAGCCCTGGAGGGAGGGACGCCTGGTCTGGCTGGCCCTGACCTGGCCGGGAGGAGCTCCCAGAGCCATTTGTTGCAGAGCTGGCCAACGCTGACCTTTGGAACCCTGTCCCCCCCACTCTGGGGACTCTGTGTGTGCTTTGGCCCCTGCTCCAGTCTGTATTCGATCTCCATCAAGAACAACCCCTCCTCTTTCTCAGTCTCTCTGAGCCCTGACCTATGCCAAGTAGGTTGCCTGTTCAGTTGCAGACACCTCCTTTGCGCCAGGTTTTTTGCCTGGTGTGGGAACACCAACACAGACACTTGTCCTCCTGAAAGTCATCAACTATTGAGAGAGATGAAGAACAAAAATGAGTAATTTGATGACAGTGCAAGGATAGACAAGCAATAAAAAGCTGCACGTGTTAGCTATAGCAGCAGAACAGAAAAGCGCTTCCTAGACGAGGTGGGCATGTGGAGGGTTTTGTTGCATGAATAAGAGTTTGCCGAGTGAACAAGAGCTGGGAGAGGGTGAATGTGGGTAAGGTATGTAGTAATAACAGCATCTTAACTAACATTCATGGAGCCCTTACCATAGCCAAGTGCTCTGCTAAGCACCTATAGCGTGCATTATCTTACTTTGTCCCACAGTAATTCTCTGGGGTAGGTATAAATACCCCCATCTGACAGATGAGGACACTGAGGCTATAGGTGGAGCCAGGATTTGCACATGGCCTGTGAGACTTCTGAGTTGTTTCTCTCAGCCATTTCACTCTGCACCTCCCACCCCTGAGCCTGCCCTGCCCAGCTCAAGACTTGGCACACAGAGGTGGTTTAAATATAGAAAGTTGCACCCCTTCCCTTCCAATCTAGGGGTTACACCTTCCAGGTATCACTGTGCCTTAACCCTTACCAGGAGGCTTAATGATGGTACTTCAGGCACATTGGACCTGAAAATCATCTGTCACGAGCCCTCATTTTGCAGATGGGGAAACTGAGGCTCTGGGGGGGGGGAACCAGGACTCAGGATCCTGGAGCTTCCCTCTCACTAATCCCCTCTCAGGCCTGCCTTGGAAGAACAACCCTGTCAAGGAAAAAAAATCAATATGCGTACACTCAATTAAAATGATAAAGCAGACACCAGAACGAGGCTGCCTCAGAGGCCCAGGGGAAGGTTTCATATGATTGACTGGAACATTATGGGAGCCTGGGGACCCCAGGCCCACTGTGCCTCTCTCTTTACAGCAACAGCTCTGAGCCCTCATTTCCCCAGTTCTCAGTCGACAGGGGGCACGGTAGCCTGTAGACCTTGGGATTCAAACAGAAGAGAGAGCAGAGGACAAGCTGTTTCACCCTTGGGTAGGGACCCAAGTGAAGGTCAGATAGAGTCTGTGTCCAGGAGAGAGAGGCCTGAGCAAGGCAGGGGCGGAAGGGGGCCTCAGGATGGACCACGATGGGTCCCCATCCATTGGCTGCACACCCCTGGGCCAGCCCCCTGGGGTTGTGCCAATTAACAATGGAAATGCCTCCCTGTAGGGAGGACCCACTGTGTGCCAGGCACCTTGCTAGGCACGGGGGTACAGCAGTGAGCAAAGCAGGCAGGACCCCTGGCCTCGTGGGCCAACAGCCGAGTGGGAGGAGACAGAGAGTAAAGAAAGTCTGCAGGTGAATGTATCACACATGTAGTGCTGAGCGCCCGGTAGAGAAACAGAGCAAGAGGAGAGGATGACAGCGGGAGGCCAGTGGAAGAGGGGTCTGGGAAGGTCTTTCCAAAGAGGTAACAACTGAACAGAGACCTAAAAGAAAGGAGGGAGAAAACTGGGAGAACATCTGGGAGTGGCCTGGGCATATTCCAGGCAGAGGAAACAGCAGGTGCAGAGGCCCTGAGGATGGACATTGCTTGGGATGTGGGGATGTTTGAGCAGCAGCAAGTAGGCCAGAGTGGCTGGAGTGGATTGAGTAAAAGGGGGGCTCTGTAGACCCGTGGGACTTTGTAGGAACTTTATAGATGATACGGCAAACTCTGTCGGTCATGGCCAGGACTTGGACTGCAAGTAAGCAGGGAACCATGGGAGAATTTTGAGCTGAAGGAGAGTGTGTTCTGACTTACATTGAACCCTCTAGCTGCCATCTGGGAAATAGACGGCAGAAAGGGAGACCAGTCATGAGTCTATTGCAGTGGTCCAGGCAGGAGAGACACAGTGGTTTGGACCAGGCAGATTCAGTGCAGTGGTGAGAGGGCAAAGCAGTCAGACGTGGGATGTATTTGAAGACAGAGGCAACTGGATTTACTAATAGATTCGATGTGGGGGTTTGAGGTAAGAAGTCAGGGATGGATCCAAGGATTGGGGGTTGGGGACTTGAGTAGCTGGAAGGATGGAGCTGCCAGTAACTGCAATGAGGAGGAGCAGGTTTGGGGTGGGGGATAATCAGGGGGACCTGCAGGGATGGGTGCTGAGGAAGCAGCTGGGTACACAAGTCTGGCTGTCGGGGGAGAGGATATTGGAATCATCAGAGTAGAGAGAGTATTTGTCTTGACTGATTCTTTGAACAACCTCATAAGAACAGTCTGCTTGTGCCCATTTTAGAGATGAGAAAACTGAGGCTCAGAGCCATTGAGTCACCTGACCACAGACACAGAGCTGGAAAGTTGGGCAGATAGGACTTGAAATGAGGTCAGTCTGCCTCCCAGCCCTGGTGTCCCCACCCAGACCCAGTGCTCTGTGGCTGTTCTCACTGAATCCTCCCAGCAGCCCTGTGTGAGGGGGGAGGGGTGGCTCATGGATTAGCATCACCTTCATTTTTGAGATGGGGCCACGAGACTTAGGGAGACTTAAGGGACTTGCCCACAGTTGAGGAGCAGTCAGGCGAGCAGCCCTCCTGCAAGTGTGCCAAGTGAACCCTGAAAAGTATCTTTACACTGGCCCCAAGGCACATAGCAGGCTAAAGGTACTGAGAAGTCCTGCAGCCTGGACCTTGGTTATCTCTGTTTAACCCAGTGTTCATGGAGCCTTGCTCTCAGGAAGCATCTAGAGTTGAGAAACATGGAGCAGAGGTTGGGAGCAAAACCTCAGTGCCTCTGTTTTTCAAGTGAGAGGCATGAATACCCACCTGGCTGGTGTTCATGTTCATTTCAAGTGAAGCCCTCCACAGCGCAGACAGGCAGCATGTTTGCTACAAGAAGGATCAAATAAACAAACCAATACATGAAAAAAGAAATAAATAAGGGGATGCAGGAATGGACCAATGCATGGGTAGCAAAAGGCATGAAGGAATATAAATAACCAAACCCAAAATGGATCAGTGTCTGAACTAATGAATTCATTCACACATTCAGCAAATATGTAGTGAGCACCTACTGTGTGCAGGTGCTGGAGATACAGCAATGAATAAAACAAAGCCTCTGCCTTGTGGCAGTGACATTCTAGTGGGAGGAGACAGACAGAAAACAAGATAAATATGTGAAATATAAAGTATACCATATGGAGAAAACGGAAGAGGGAAGGAGAGAGGGGAAAGGAGGTATGTGGAGGGGGTGCACATTTTAAAACAGGATGGTGGTAAATGAAGGAATGAATGAAATGGTGAATAAATGCAGGTGTAATGACAGCAGGCAGGCATGGGTCAATGAGCAAATGAAAAGAATTATTGAATGAACGAACTGAGGAACACATGCATGCATGACCCAAGGCATGAATAAATGAATGAGCTAATGAAAGAATGATCGTTTGCATAAATGAACTTGTGCTTGAAGTAATCAGCTAATGGATGGATTGATGATCGAATTATTGAATGAGTGAACTAATGAGAGAAAGGATTGCCTGACACTGGTGTCTGCACGGTCATGGCCCCTGTTGACCCCTGCCCTCACCCCAGGTGCAAACTCTGCTCCCCTCACTTCTTTGTCTGAACAGCCCCCACACCCCCTTGGCCCTTCCCCCCAGGACTGTTGACAGCCACTGCTTCGGTGCTTGTGTTGACCCCTGAGAGGTGGGGGCAACTTTCATCCCCTGCCCACCTTGCTGATTTGCAGCTCCGTGCTGTCTTGACACGCTCGCCTCCTTCCTTGACCCTCCGCTCCCACCCTGCACTCCCTTCGCCCCACATGTGCTGACCCTCAGCCTCGCCCCTGCCTGTCCTGCCCCTCCAGCCCGGGCTGACCCTCTGTGTTGCCCCCCGCCCCTCGGAACGGCCCGTCCTGATCCGCAGTCCTGCCTGCCCCCGCCGGCCGCGGATGCTAACCGTCCTCCTGTCCTGACTCCCGTTCCCCTTGTGAGCACAGGCACCATGCGGCCGGTGCGGCGCAACTTCTACGACCCGTCGTCGGCGCCGGGCAAGGGCATCGTGTGGGAATGGGAGAATGACGGCGGCGCGTGGACGGCCTACGACATGGACATCTGCATCACCATCCAGAACGCCTACGAGAAGCAGCACCCGTGGCTCGACCTCTCGTCGCTCGGCTTCTGCTACCTCATCTACTTCAACAGCATGTCGCAGATGAACCGCCAGACCCGCCGGCGCCGCCGCCTGCGCCGCCGCCTGGACCTCGCCTACCCGCTCACCGTGGGCTCCATCCCCAAGTCGCAGTCGTGGCCCGTGGGCTCCAGCTCGGGCCAGCCCTGCTCGTGCCAGCAGTGCCTGCTGGTCAACAGCACGCGCGCCGCGTCCAACGC